TACTTGAAATGAGCTATACCCTGGTAAAACTATGCCAAATGCACAAGGGTCAGAACGTCGATAAAGAGGAACCACACCGTTGAGGATAGCTAAAGACTGCACTAATTGCCGAAGAGATCCGACTACTGTCTAAGAGACCCTCGATTAAACTATCTTTGTGATCCGAGTCATCACGTTAAACCATAGTCATTACGAGCAGCTGCAAGAACATCAAAAACACCGAAGAACGAACCGGCATGGTGGTCTGTTTGTTGTTAACTGCCTTATCTCCTACACTTCAAGATTATTAGGTCTTCGCGTCTGATTGCTATGGGCCTCAGAAACTAGGAAAACATATCTGAGGTGATCCAAGCCTGTCGCAACACGAAGGGTGTCTTTCTATTTACTCAGAGCCGATCTATATTAGTGAGGCGACAACATGCAGGTAATTAAAAGACTGGTGAATGAGAGAATGAGGGAGTACAAGCGTAAGAAAAACGTCCTCCATAAAGCTGAACCCGGGTTTAGGAAAGGTAAGTGATGTGTATCCAATCTTCACACAGCATGGGACAGCTGGACAACTTGTGATCGAAATATATCCGTTCATATAACATTCCTCGACTTAGTGAAAGCTTTTTAAGTGCGGAGATTACAAAGATGGGAGTCACTTAACCTGTTCTATCATGGCTAGGAAATTTCCGAGAGAATAAGAAGTTTAGGAAAAAATCTTATGGAGACAGGCTCTAACATAGGATTATTCCCTTTGCGTTATTAGAGACTCAGAGGTGATCTAATAATTGCACATAACATATTAAGTACACCGAGAAACTTGTCAAAACGTAACCACCCTCGAAGCAATCCTCTAAGAGATGCAGATGAAAGAGCGAACAACAAAGTATGTGACAAGTTTTTATCATTAAGAGTTGTTTCAATTTCGAATGACCACAACCCTCAGCGGACAGGTACAAAAGACTTGTTCAACACGTAGTCATACACGGATTATCATTTCCCTCTAGGACCAGCTGTGCCTGGAGAATGTCTCAGAAATTGCTAGTTGTTGCCATTCTCACAGATCACCAACTTAATCTATATCTCTTAAATCTGTGATTCTTAACAATTTCTTACAACGCGGTCCTCCCGCACAATCTTTATTACCAACTACTTAACCTATTTATCCACTTATTTACTTTGTTCTGAAATCTCATCAGCATTAAAATTCTATCCTGATTGCCGCCCACATCGTGACTAACTGATATCTGGCATGGCAACTTTATGGCAGCTTCTTTCCAGAAAACCTACTGTAGAATTTATTTCGCAGGCGGCTGTCCTAATCGCGTCCAATAGAAACACACCGGTACGATTCTCCTAGATACCCGTCCCAGCCAAATCAGAAAGCCGAAAATTCTAGGAGAAAACCGTCTCTATTGCTATAAAAAATGGAAATACAGAGACTTACGATGTTTATGTTTCTTCCAGGACTAAATTACTCCGTAGAGTATCTATTACAATAGCTAGTAAGTGACACTAAGTTCAGCAGCCACTGCGTCTATCCAAAAATGTGGCGGTAGCCATATTATATCAAATTTAAACAATATATGTACAATTCAGAAGCAAACACAAAAACTTCAATATAAGTACAAAATATGGAAAGAATAACAACATACAATGGTAAAATCTCAAATTGGAATCAAATAAAATACCAAAAATGTCAAGAGAAAAAGTCCATCATGTCATGGCAAAAATATGTAAACATGGAGGGATTTTCCCAAAAACAAAACATTCAAAAAGAATTCTACACCGGCCCGCAAAATCCCTCCATGCAAAAACAGCAAGCGTTAACGACACCTTAATTAGGGTTCCCATGTTATCCCCTAATCCACACCGGAATAACGTGTAGGACTTACAGCAGTACGCCTACTCGCCATCCAACATGGATATGACCTATCGCGCTAACTAGATACCTATACTTTCCCATCAGGCCCTTGATTCCCCTATCTATCGTGGAATGACCTAACGGTAGTATAAACCTTCCCCAATTAACCCATACGAACATGAACAACGCGTCGCAAAACTGGTCATATCCTATCCAAGGACTACATTCTCTATCGTGGGGACGAGTCGCCAATCCACCACCACTTGCTCTGATCAGCAGATACCATGAAGTCCGTGATGCCAACTTATCAACAGAAGTTTTTGACCCATAACTAATATGCAAGGGTGAGATTTCCAATTTTGACATTTCGTCGTCTCCAGAAGACCTTAAGTAGCATGACGTAGGATCAATATTTATCCTTCCATCTCCTGATGCAGAGGAGGTTTGAACAGTGTTCATCATCGTCGGTAACTCATTTGTCACATCAGTGACATCCAGTTTATTGTCAACGTCTAAATGATTCCGTTCTACATTAGCATCCGTTTCCGCGGCACATGACATATGCTCAACAATAGCATCGTCATCACACATCACTGTAGACTGTCTGTTACCATCAACCATTTTCTTCTCATCATCACTCGACTGACGGTCAACCGTAATAGGAACAGTTACAGCTGCACAACCTTGTGCATCTTCAATCAACTTAACCTTCGTGACGAGGTCCAACGGCGTCGAAACACTAGGAGGCTCACTCGATGAAGTCGATAAACTAGTCCCTATAAGTGGACTGCTGACACTTTCTATATCCTTATTATCACTGTGACTATTGAGGTTCTGATGGCTACTATTTCCATAGCTAATCGTAGCATCCGTAAGAGCATGAGGTTCAGGCTTTTTAGTAATAGTAGCATCATGTCTCCTAGGCTTCTTAACCGTTACTGTATCACCATCACTTATCCTAGAAGCTACTCTAGGTCCAGTTATATAATTTACCCTAACTGAAGGGTTCCGAAAATAAGCTTTATTCCGTTCAGTCAATCCTGCCTGGGCTTTATTCATATTTGCTGAACTCACTAACCTCTGATTACTCGAATCCAAATTACCGTTCCAGGCTTTTCGAGCAGCTAAGAGGCTTTTATCGTCACACACTTCGGATCCATCTTGATGCCTACCTTTTTCACCTTTTTCTTTCTTTTCTACACTTAGAAAAGCCATCTTATCTGTTACACCATCCGGCTTCTTACGAGGACACGCATCAAGAGAATTTACATCGTTACGGTCACGTACTCGTACTTCATCAGGGTATGCTTTCGTGATATAATTGACAATTCTCTTATCTTCCGAGTATGCTTTAGGTAGAAACGAAGAATCCGAATGTCTCGCACGCAGACCACTAGTAGCTTCCTTATTATTTCCTGTTTTAGCCTGATAAGCTAATCTTCCAAACCTACTACCAGCTATCTTAGCACGAGACATAATAAAGTCCGTCAATTCGTTAAAATTGGGCTCTCTCTCCTCTTCGTCCCACTTGAATACTAGCTCTGCCCACTGGGCTTGCATTCGACGAGGTAGGAGCCTTACTATTCGTTCTAAAGTAGTCATAGAGTTAAGTTCAGCTGTACAATTTAACTGTTCTAAAGTTAAAGAAGCATTCTGCATTTTAATGGCCAAGTTCGTCAATGATTCGGGATCATTAAATTCGACATTCCCAGTTCTAAATAAGTCCTCTAAGGTTTCTCGCGCTATCACATGTGACTGCCCAAAAAGCTGTTTTAAAATAACCTTAGCTCTCTTATATCCCGCCTGTGGGTCCATTATAAGACAGCCTTCGCTCGCATTTTTCGCTTTTCCCTTACAATAATGAATTAAATACAATAAACGCACTTGATCATCCTTGATTCGAGGTTCTATAAACGATTCTATCTGTCGTATGAACTTAAAATAGTCGCGAGACCTTCCATCAAAATATGAAAGTTCAACCTTAGGTAATTCTAAACCCTCTATCGATGACTTACGTATCTGATCGGTCTCCGGTACTTTAGGACTCTCACTTAATCCTGATTCCTTAATGCCTGCCGAGGGTGACTTACAATAATAAATATCAGACATAACATGAGGATTACCCATAAAAAGGTTATTATCAACGACTTGCCTAGAGCCCTGTGATCCGTCGAGCTCTTCCACCCTCCTCACGTGTGATTTTTTTCGGTTTGACATCTTAAATAGGATTCAATACGAAAGGTAACAGATACAAAATAGAATAGTTCCAAAATTCAGTTCAGAATTAAGATAAACGATTAAAATTCCAATTGTTTCCTTGTAATTCTTAATAATCCAAATAGATCCGATTATATGCGTTCTGGTAAATATTTCCAAGTATAATTCACGTAAGAAGAGCAAACATCAGACTGTAGAATTTATTTCGCAGGCGGCTGTCCTAATCGCGTCCAATAGAAACACACCGGTACGATTCTCCTAGATACCCGTCCCAGCCAAATCAGAAAGCCGAAAATTCTAGGAGAAAACCGTCTCTATTGCTATAAAAAATGGAAATACAGAGACTTACGATGTTTATGTTTCTTCCAGGACTAAATTACTCCGTAGAGTATCTATTACAATAGCTAGTAAGTGACACTAAGTTCAGCAGCCACTGCGTCTATCCAAAAATGTGGCGGTAGCCATATTATATCAAATTTAAACAATATATGTACAATTCAGAAGCAAACACAAAAACTTCAATATAAGTACAAAATATGGAAAGAATAACAACATACAATGGTAAAATCTCAAATTGGAATCAAATAAAATACCAAAAATGTCAAGAGAAAAAGTCCATCATGTCATGGCAAAAATATGTAAACATGGAGGGATTTTCCCAAAAACAAAACATTCAAAAAGAATTCTACACCTACTGCCATGAAACGTATTCATTCACATCACGGGAATCACAAATTCACAAACAACTGCTGACTGACTAGAACTAATCCAGTCGAATGTCTGGACAACCATCTTTTGGACACTACCAAAGAATTGGAACGGTAATAAAGGAACAAGAACCGAGCGCAAAGAAATTAGTTAGTTTATGCTAGCTCGTGGAAACGATATTGGATTATTGGATATTGGATATTGGAACCAGCGGCTGTCTAACGTCAAGGTGACGCCCTTGTGGCATCTTGATACTCTTTTGTGCTATTCTCTTACTTCTGCGTTGTACATTGTCTAAAAGGAAAATTTATTACGAAAGACTATTTGTTAAGGAAAAGCAATATAACAATTCGGATTATAAATGGCGTCTGGAAATTATTGATCAATTGGTTGGATCCCATCAGGGGATTTATTCAAACCTTACTTCCAGCCAATTGTTAGAATTGCACACTACATTTAGAAGATGTGGTGATAGTCGTAGCATTCCATATATATAAAAAGGTTACTTATGCATTTCAGGACTGCGTTATGAATGTATTCACCTATTATACTATATCATAACCATTCTTTTCTTGTTCGACGAAAAGCAATCCAAGGTTCTCCATAAACTTTGCTTTAAAGCAAAGTGCCTTCAGGCTAGACACTATCCTTATTGTTATTGTTATCAGTAAAACTTAATAAGTAGAAAGAATGGTATTTTTGCAATGACCGAATCTAAAATAAAACTAGGTTGGTAATGATTTTCAATATTTTTAGATTATAAACTCTATTTATTTTATTTCCAACAGATTCATTTGAGAAGATTTGATTTTACTTGATAAGTTCTCAATGAAATGTGAACGTGATTGGGTAATTAGGAGTTTGATATATTGCCTTTACTTCAGTTTTCCGGAAGGTTTTCTTACCACAACACATTACGAATAATTTCAATATCAGTGTAATAGGAATATCGATGTCTGATTCCTGTTTTGGAATTGACTGTAAAGTCGAAGAACTAGTGGAGTTGGATGACTTGATTAGGAAGTCATCACAGGAGTTTATCACAGAAGATATAAATATTATGCCTGAAAACTGTATAAAAGGTAGGTGACTCTCGTTATTATACTTGTGCAACCTAAATTCATCCATTGATACTCCTTCGTTACAAGAGCCTTTTCAACTTCATGAAGACTCAGAGGACTTACATCAACTTGCCTTTAAGGTTGACTGCTGATCGTATGTAATCAAAGTGTAGCTGCAGGCCAGTTGAACCGGCCTTTAAAGTGTTCTGATTATCGACAGGAAGGATTTGATTGTGACCAATTTGTTCTCCTTTGTTGTTATGGGTATGAAAGTGGATGTCACTTGCCGGCTACCCACACTATGGAAGGGTATTTCTTGAGGAGTATGTGAAGGAAGTCAGATTAGTGTTGGTCTTAGCAGCCTGGGAGAGTGACCACAAAGCCTAAGGTACAACTGCTTGAGTTCGGTTACGCACAACCTGTTTATGGGGTGTTTTGAAAGTGTTAGCTGTGCTCTTCAAAGGGCCTTACTGCTGAAGACATATTAGTGTGGTAATGTGAGATATGAAATTTCTAGGGTCGACCTTTTCTAACCCCTCTTTCCATTGTTAGAAGGCAGCATCGCTACAAATGCTGGTTGTCCGAAGGAAACACCTTACTGCTGTCAAACCCCACCACAGTCAGCAGTACAACTTCGCCCTCAGACCTTAAGTTTTTGCTTTTAGTCTCATCGTTCTCCAATCGACCTGCGTAGTATGGTAAGACCTAAAGGGATATATGTTCTAGCCAGTATAGCTCGGTTGGGTCATCACGATAGGCAAGCCTGACCACCACATCAAGGTAGCAGCTACAGTTGGGTTGTTGACTCTTGACTCGTTACCTGTAAGCTTTCCAAACGTAATCATGTACTTCCTTATTGTTCCGTGCATGTTTGTAAAGTAAAAGTAGAGTACTGCATCGAAGTCACTCACGATAAAATACTGGTAATCTCGACTGTGTTTTGAATTCCTGTTGACTTCATGATAATTGTTAAGTACTGTCCAGTGCTTCTTAATCCCAATTTGTCATGTTTTTCCTCTTTTTAAATCTATTTTACTAATATGTACTTCTCGAATCATATCTCCGATTTCTAATGTTTTCCATTACCGATAATACTGCTACTACCTCTACCATTATGGGATATGAGTTAACATTCCCATTTCCATGTACTAATGCGGTGTGGCAACTTAAGTTGATGTATGTACGCACGTACCAGGTTCTACGTTGTTGCTGAACAACTGACTGACTTTACAATCTGATAAGTTAGGGGCGACCAAACCAAAACATGGCAGAAATCCATGAAGTCATTGACTAGTGGACTGAGCCATGTCGGTAATTGTCGACTACCTGGTTGGGGTCCGCGAGATGATAATAATCGATGGTTAGAGACCTTAAATGACATCGCTCAAAATCGTTCGCAATGGCGCCGGTGCATTTGTTCTTTGTGTTCTCTCAAATCCTAATCTTCTGGATTCTTCAACCCCTCTAGTTTTGACTTTCGAAACTTTTCTCACTGAATCATACTTCTTGAATAATATCTTCTAATCCTATCCTCTCCGATTACTTCTAATTCCCTTACTACCTCTTCTACTATTGGATTTGAATTGACGATTACTTCTCTGTGCTGATGTGGTATGGCAACATGGACTGATGTACTTATGTACAAAGATCTACGTTGCATCTGACTGACTGACTGACTGACAATCTGATAAACATGACTCGATCATTCCCAACATAATGTTGGCTGAAAACTATCCAATTATCGGTGATTGTCAGTAATAAATTCCTGTATAACACTGTAACTGGTTCTATGTAATATCATGTAAAATCTTCAATTATTGATTCTTTCGTGCTCTAAGCTAATATCTCGCAACTCCATTTTCAAACAACCTACCTTATACTGAATAATTGATACAGGAGAAAACACATTGAAATTCAGTGAGGAGAACCCAATCTAAATAGTTAACTATCACAGATATGAGTTAAAAGTTAGCTGGTTGAAAATCGTCGATGTTGGAAGTTTCATTTTGGTTTTTCTTAAATTGTATTTGGGATTCCAAATCCTTAATAATGACAATCACATTGTTTGTTCTTTGTCTTTTCATATTTGTTTTTAGTGGAAGACTGTAGCTACGATAGTCCTGCCGATGACCACTTAAGAGATAAATTGGAAACTATGAGAGGCAGTCAGACATTAAAAGTGGAAGAGAGTTTTAAACGTAAGTATTACTATGTTTTGTTGATTTCATCTGTATGTCTTCCATGTAAATTGTTTATATATTGTGTCTTTTATGATAATATACTCTCGGCTGTTCAGTGTACTTGAATTCTAAATTCTGGATATATTTAAGTTTAGTTTAAGAACAATAATGTATAAAATAGATATTTAGTGGTATAATGCAATGACAGAATTGTTTTTTTATCTTTTCCATTTACATCCAATGTTAATCTAAAACCTACTAAAGTTACAATCTTCCCAATAACCTCGGTGTTGAGGAGACATACAGACTAGATCTCATTTTGTGCTGTTTCGTGTTTTCTGTTGGTATATATGTAAATTTTGTAAGTCGCATAATTCTGCTTCTGATATTTCATATCAAAATCATATTTCCGCTTATTTGTTATGATTCGCATAACGTGTTAATTGTGCGAATCTAGCAACATGGTAATTTACTGCTTGCTTACACAATTACACTGTCTGATAATTGACTTTTGTAGATGAATGCGATTCTGATGACGCTTCTGGCGTTGATAATCTCGTTACAGATAAACGTAACCACACCACTGGTTTAGTTGTCATTACGGTAAATCAGAATCTAATCAGGCAAAATTCTGCAAAGGGTATGCATTTTGTGATATTTTAACATGTTTAAATTACGAGTAAAATTCATTCATGCATGAATAATGCACGTTTTAAATATTTTCTGATCTATTCGAAATGATTTATTTTTCGCGGTTCAGTTATCTGCAGATCTGAAAGTAAACATGTAACTAATAATGTTTCCTTGTGCAAGTAGCTCTATTATGAAGCGTGTTTAATGTTACTGTTGTACTGCTATTTCTGTTGACATTCGAATATCTCACGAAGCAATGATTTATTGTGTACATTTTCGATGAAAATCTTATTTGAAGAAAGGAGTTTTAAAATTCAATTTTATTGGTCACCTCATTCGTTTATAAGCATAGACAATAAAAAATCTAAGACTATTGGCGTCTCATTCGATATACTTCGATATATTTACTTACTCCTGTTACCCCAATCGAGCATTGTCCGCCAACAAGCATTCTCCAACATACTTTTTCATGGACCGTCCTTTCCAGTTCTGTCCAATCGCTGTTTATTCTTTTCATGCCTGTCTGCAATCCTCAGCGTAATTTCTTCTTTGGTCTACCACTTTTTCTTTGGCCTTAAGGGTTCCAAGTGAGGGATTGCCTGATGATGCAGTTAGGTGATTTCTTCGATATTTGTTCGATTCAACTCCAACGCTTCTTCCTTATTTCTCCTCCAGTTGGAATCATGTTTGTTCTCTTCCACAGTAGTTTGTTGCTGGTGGTTTCTGACCAACGGATCGTCAGTAACTTGTGTAGACAACTGTTAATAAACACTTGTATCTTGATGACGATGGCTTTCATGGTTCCCCAAGTTTTCGCTCCATACAACAGAACGTTCTTAACGTTCGTACTGAAAATTGTGACTGTGATATTGGTTGACGATTGCTTTGTGTTCCAGATGTTATTCAATTGTAGAAATGCAGTCCTTACCTTGGCAATCGGTGTTTTTACATCTGCTCCAGATCCACCTTATTTATCAATGATGCTGCCCAGATTTGTAAAAGTTTCTACATCTTGCAAAGCTTCTCCTCCAAATGTGATTTGTTTGGTTGATGCTGCATTGTATGGGAGGATGTTGCTTTTTCTCTTGTACTGCTGCAGAGACTGCTGTTTCAGTGGTTTTCTTGTCCTGAATTTGTTGTTGCGTGTGTGATAGAAGAGCAAGAGCATATGTGAAGCTCAGATTGGTTAGCTTTATCCTGACTGTGCACTGTATCCCGTGCCTCCCGCGAGATATTGATGTCTTTATAATGCAGTCAACCATCAGAAGAAAGAGAGAGGGTGAGAGTAATCAACCTTGCGTGACACCAGTTTTCAGTTGGAACGAGCCTATGAGCTCTCCTCCATTCATAATTTTGCAGTTTAATCCATAATAATATTTATGTTTGATGTTGAGCATCTTTTGTTGTACACTGTATTGCCGGAGAAGTCCACATACCGTTCAGTGCTTCGAGGTGATGGTGGTGGTGGTTTAGCAATGATTGATTGATGATTTCAATGTGTAAGTCGACATGCTGGCACATGCTGTCTACGCTGTTAGATGGCTTCTCGTAGTCACTGAAGTATATGTAAAGTGATGAGTTCTATTCATTTGGTTGTTCCACCAGCTCCTCTCTTGGTTCTTACGTCCTCTATCGTTCTCCTGAACTTTTTGTTGAATGCAGATGCAGTCAGTTTATTTTTGTGTAGTGTGGTCTGCTGAAATCTATGTAGCTTTATGTACGCGTTTGTGTGGGGTAATATGGTGCCGCCTGTGAACATTCAATGCACCTATATTAATTGTTGCTCTGGTTGTCAGAAGGGGCATCGGCCTCATGACTTCCGAAGGAATTTACCTTTCTTCATGAGACGTCATTACTCTTCTCAATGACGAGCTTCCGACTCTCAGAACAGAGTTTAAATGGTTTGAATTATTTTCTATGGTTAGCCTTTTTTTAGCGAATTCGTTTTCTACCTGATGGGGTTGCAGATTGAAAGTTAACTGAAGGGTAATGTATGTCACTTATAAACTGAAAATATTCTTTGATCATTAACTATCTTAATCTGTGGAGAATTATTGAAAAAGCAGAGGTGAATAAATACGTTTCGTATTAGTTTGAATCTCCTGATTATAGAGTACTCATAACTGTATATAGGAATAAACTAAAGAGATAGATTAAGGTGTCACATTAAACGCAGTACTTGTAAACCATTCAGTTGACTTCCATTCCTTATTTTCAGCTTCATTTAACTTACGAATATAGTGCACATATAATGCACTGCCATTGGCTGACCCTGCATATTATTTTTTTCACTAGAACTTTGAGAAGTTCATCTTTTACAATTGCACCACTTTTAAGTGAGCAATTGTTGTTACCACTTTTGTATAATTAAAATTCTTCATTAATTGTATATACTGAATTATTTTATATATTTTCAGAAACGAAACTCTTCAAATGTACTATGTGTCATAGTTGCTATACTTCTAAAACATTTTTAAACATACACAATAAATATGTTCATAAAGGTAAATTGTTCTTCAGTTATGTTTTTCATGTAGTTATAACTTTTGTTTAATATTCTTCCTACTTGTCTTTCCACACTTTATTCTCTGGATGTGGAGTTGTATATTTATTAATTTTGCCGTTTACCTTACTAGAAGATATCACTGCTGTTTCCACAGCTTTTTGGATATCACTCCAGTGTCTCAGGATGGGCATCCTTTACTACATAGCTAACCTAACTGTTTTTCTAGTTGTCCCTGAAATATATTCTTAGTTTTGTTATCATTAAGTAGAACCCTGAGAGGGGTTTCCTTGCGATGTCTTTCGTACATCCAGTAAGCCTCAAACAAATACGCTCTGGCAACCTGCGTCACTTATGGCGTAGGCGTGATATCCGTTCTCTAATCAAAGGACGAGTGTACTGTGCAGCAGTTCGCTCCGTTCTCCTATATGGCTGTGAAACATGGCCAGTAAGAGTGTAAGATATTCGTACGTTACTAGTTTTCGATCATAGGTGTCTTCGAAGCATTGCTCGTATATCGTGGGACAACCGAGTGAGCAATGCTGTCGTTAGGAAACGAGCACTAGGTAAGAATGGCAGATCAATAGACGCAGTAGTGACACTTCATCAGTTGAAGTGGTTGGGATGTGTTGCGTATGCCCAACCACCGGCTGCCTCGTCGAGCTTTGTTTTGCAGTGTTGGAGTAGGTTGGAAGAACGCTAGGGGCGGCCAAACCAAAACATGACACAAATCCATGAATTCATTGACGACTGGACTTAGCCATGTCGGTAATTGTCGACTACCTGGTTGGAGTCCACGAGATGATAATAATCGATGGTTAGAGACCTTGAATGACATGGCTCAAAATCGTTCGCAATGGCGCCAGTGCATTTATTCTTTGTGTTCTCTCAAATCCTAATCTTCTGGATTCTTCAACACCTCTAGTTTTGACTTTCTAAACTTATCTCATTGAATCATACTTCGTGAATAATATCTTCTAATCCTAACCTCTCCGATTCCTTCTAATACCTTTACTACCTCTTCTACTATTGGATTTGAATTGACAGTTATATCTCTGTGTTGATGTGGTATGGCGACATGAACTGATGTACTTACGTACGAAGTTCTACGTTGCATCTGACTGACGCTCTGGCACCGGAGTATGGTCTGAATCTGAACAAGTTCTCCAGGATGAGCCTATCCACCGATGGCTTATAGTGATGTGATCTAGTTGGTTCGGCTTTGGGGGTCTCCATACTAGTGTAGTAAACAATGATGAGTGTTTATGTACCTAAATGTCTGATGTTTGTGAGATAATGATTACCTAATATTAAATCTGTCATTCAATAAATGGCAGTTATAAGTGTATACGCTAATGGGATAGAATTGTATAAATATTTCTATTTGAAGTGGAAATTCTATCAAATGGTTCATTCAATAAGCTTAAACTGCTCTTTGAATGAATTTTCTTCGAGGTCTTGCTCTTCTATAGACCGGGTGATTTAATTATGAAATATTTCTTATTATAGACGGGTGATGTTTTCGTAACGAACAATGTTCTCCTAAGTTTGTTGACTTATTTTTCGTCAATCTGAACACTTACGATTGTAACATCCTAGAGTGTATACCCCGTGTTGTGAAACACTACTTTATTTACATAATTTGTCAATATTCTTTCTACTGGTTTTAATCGTTGTAGCAGCCCTAATGATCTGAGTGTTTGCATTTCACTGCTCTCTCCAATAAATTAGAAAATAGTTTAAAAATTTTACATCTGTTGCGTAATGTTGAATTGTAGGAGATTCTTTTTTTACTGTTTGTACAGTGAGTGGATTTCTTGCATCGTTTGTACATTCATAGGAATGAAATCGTCTCGTGATTCATGCAACAAGAAATCTTCAACAGAAACTACACGTAACCTTCACATTAAAACTATTCATGAAGGTGAGTTGTACTTCATTTTCTCTTGTGTCACATGAATTGTGATTGTACATCATCGAAGAATTATTTTTTTTATGTTACCACTGGTTAAATATTGTAGTATTCTACTTCCTCTGGTCGAAGTTAGATTTTGTCGTTTCAATCTAAACGTACTTGTTACTTCTTGTCACATTACGTCTGCAACCTGATGAGAATTATTATTGCTATTGGAAATTTCATCTAAAATATCTTTCACTTTTCATCTGTGGAGAATTGGATGATTTAACTTCTTGGTATAAGATATTTGGCTCCAGATGTCATTCAGTCATTTTTAGCACATTCTTAGTGGTATTGTGTTGGCTATATATAGTCTTCTTTCTTTTTAATCTTTTGACTCGAGTTTTCAATAGTATTTACTGATTTTCGTCTAAATATTTTGCGCCGTCAAACTATCATTCACTGATGTGGTAATGCATTTTTTGTTTATATTTATTGTAATACATAAACTTTGGTACAAATGGGCACCTGAATATATTTATACACCACACAAATAGACGAATTTATGAGTGGGCTTTGATACTGCACGGACATCCGAACCGAAGGAGGTAGGTTTCTTAGGGAGTCACCTTTTGACCTAATAGTCTAATCCACAAGGCCATGGAGCAGCTTCAGAAGATGCAGTCTCATGGCAGTGGATGACCAGCAACAGGTTCATACGACATCCGTTTTGTCAGGATGCTGGAACCCATGTACACCATCCATTTGTAATCAGAGTTCCCCAACTCCCCTCGGTAGATTCTCCGTCGTACGCATCAATCTGATTTCAGCCCTAACATTATGTTCACTTTTCGTCCTCTCAAGTCTGTAAACAACACCTGTGTCATGAGTAGGCTATGTGTAGTACTCTCCTGGTAGTGGCTATATACTCATGACCGTATGAGAGCACTTGAAGTATTTGTTAAATTACATAACTTTTAATCACTGTAAAAAGTTCTCGCTATCCCCATAATCACTATCAATGAAGGTCTATTTCACAAATGGTTGTTTTATTTGTTCATATTCTTTCTCTCGGTAAATGGGAACATGTATTTAGTCTAAATGTGTATCGTAAATCACTCTCATACAAATCTAAATATTGATGGTTGAATTTAACTGTACTAATAATAGAAATTTTTATTCACTAGGAATAAATTATACATGTGGTCAGTGTAATAGAAAATTTGCTTGTCAAGCTAATTTAAATCAACATATTCAAGTTTTTCATGATCGTGAGTTAAATGTAATGTGATGTTATTGATGTTTGATTTTAAAAATGTCTGATGTTTATTTAAATTATCATTAAATCAATTTTGAACAACTATTGACTGTATTTCCATGTACTGTGTCAGATCTATCATTGTAGACTAGATATGTTATAAGGATATGGGTTTGTAGTTGGTTTCCATATGGGACTGACGTCATCTAGCAAGGCCATCATGAGGCGTAGCATACTGTCTGATTGAATCCGTAATCTTTTGGTTAGTTTACATATCGTTATACTGTCTCTTTGATTTTCCAGTTGACAAAATGTTCAGAATGAGGTAAAAATAAAGTATAGAGTGGAACTGTCATTCGATTGAAAAAACATGGGGCATGAATTGATAGCAAACAACCTGTCATTTATTTGGTAAAAGTTATGTAGTTTTGTTGGCTGAATTATACGTCTTGCATAATAACTTCAAACCCTAATCTTTTCCATTACCGCTAATACTTCTACTACCTCTACTACTATGGGATTTGAAGTGACTGTTGCGTCTGTGTGCTAATATATGATATGGCAACCTGAACTGATGTACATACGTTGTAGCTGACTGATTGACTTTGTTGGCTGTTGATGGTTTGTGTTTGATCACTTTTCATGGTATCAAATTGTACTTTTTTCTTCTTTTTGACTTATGTTCTGGTTATCAGCGTAGCTCCAATCATATTCGCTAGGCAACTTCGAATATGCACTTTCAAATGTGAAAGTCGGTACAATTTTGGAAAATTTTATGTGTATCATAATTCAATAGGCTGGTAGTGCACTTCTGTAATTGGCATATTTAGTGTGTTGAAATTCATTTTCTGGAGCTAGAAATGACCAGTTGAGACTTTATGACTGCTAAGGAGGCAAATATGTCGATCACACACTATTTTATGAAATATTAGGATTGCTGACACCTTAGTGTTTCATTCTCTCCAGCTGTTTATAGTTCTCGTTTGTAGTTGTTATTTGGCAAAATGTGTTTGTCCGTACGGTGTCTTTAAATTTACAATAACCTGGTTGGCATGTTGATATAACATTTGAGCTTTTATGAGTATGAAGGCGGATGTTACTTCCCAGCCGTGCAAACCGTGCCAAGGTCCTGTTTGTCATAAGGGGTATCGGCCTCGTGAATTTCGAAGGAACTTGGCTTTCATCATAAGACGTCATAACTCTTCCAAATGACCATCGTCTAACTCGCAAAGCAGGGTTTATATGGTTTCAATTATTTTTTCTTGTTAGCGTTTTTTTTAGCGAGTTAGTTTTTTTGCAGGATGGGGTCGCCAATCCCAATCCCAACCCTCCTCCTTTATCCAGGCTTGGGACCGGCAGTAGCCCAGAAGGGGTTTACAGGCCATTACTTTTACTATCTCTACTACTATGGGATTTGAATTGACAATTGCATCTCGGTGCTATAATGTGTGTTATAGTAACTTGAACTGATATACCTACGTACGTACGAAGTTCTACCTTGCTATTGATTGATTGATTGATTGATTGGATAAGATTTGAGCACTTTTTATCTCCACAACTATGAAATTTTGTGCAAAAATTTTCTCACTTATGCATCATTTTAATTAGTGAATCTATCAAAAAATTAAAAAAAATGAACCTTCATGCGATTTCAATCAAGAGTCAAAAGAAGAGTGGATTCATACGAGGTTGTAATAATATACATCATTGATAATTTGTTCTGTTGGTTATTTCAGTACAGAATGCATTAAACATATTTTGCCTTGGTGCAAGTCCCGACCGTAGCTGCTACCTTGACGTAGTGGTCGGGCTTGCCTATCGTGATGACCCAACCAAGCTATACTGGCTGGAACATATGTTCCGGAAGGTTCTACCATGCCAGGCAGGTCGATTGGAGAACGATGAGACTAAAAGCAGCTACCCAAGGTCTGAGGGTGAAGTCGTACTGCTGAGTGCAGAGGGGTGTGACAGAAGTAAGGTGTTTCCCTCGGACAACCAGCATCTGCAGCGATGCTGCCTTCTGACAAGGAAGGAAGGGTTAGAAAAGGTCGGCCCTAAAAATGTCACACCTCCCCTACCTCACGGGTTTCCGTCTCCTTGGATAAGGGTGCCCACTAAGGGCCTTTAAGAACGGAGCTAATACTCAAAAAACCTCTCATAAAAAGGCTGTGCGTGACCGGCCTGAAGCAGTTGTCCCTTGGACTCTGCGGTCACGCTCCCAGGTGCTAAGACTGACACTAATCTATCTTCCTTTTCAGCTCCCTCAAGAAACAACCTTCCACGGTGTGGGCAACCGGGAAGTGATAACCGCCCTCATACCCGTAACAGTACGAGTGACTGATTGGTGCAAGTTCATTTACTAAGTTAATTAAATTGAATTGTTTTTTATTTTCTTTTTTTATTTCTCATTAAAGGAATCAAATATCCATGTGATCAATGTGATAAAAAATTCACTAGTAAATCACGTCTTAAACAACATGTAAAAGCTATTCATGAAAGTAAGTAATTATAATGATAATATGATTGATATGTTGTTCTATGATGACATTTTTCATTCTGCCAACCAACATTCACTAATGAGATGATGAAATCATCATTGATGAATAAAGGGCCTCTTTTTTTCTCTTTTCTTTTAAAAGAAATTTGAATTATTTTTCTCATTTATACTTAATTATATTTTCATGTACTATACCCTAGATATGTGTTAGTAGTATGTTTCTATGCGGAACTGATATGATTTAGTAGATCATTAAAAACCATCAAGTATAGTAGATAATTGTCGGTAGGTAGTAGACTACCTGGTTGGGATCCACTAGATGATAGTAATCGATGGTCAGAGACGCTGAATGATATGGCTCAAAACTGTTTGCAATGACGCAGGTGCATTCATTCTTTGTGTTCCGTCAAATCCCCTAACCTTCTGAATTACTCATCACTTTGTCTTTTTCTTTTTAAGTTTATTTCACTAGATTCTACTTCTTGAATAATGTCGTCGAACCTTAATCTCTCCGATGACTGCTAATACTTCTACTACCGCTACTATTATGGGATTTGAAGTGATAATTACATCTCCGTACTAATGTGGTATGGCAACTTGAACTAATGTACGTACGTACGAAGTTCTACGTTGATTGATTGATTGATTGAGTAGATAATTGTTTGTTTTTGAGTTTAGTGATCATTGGTTGATCTGATAATTTTATTGAAGTGAACTTTCGGTTGGTTTTTTTTTAGGATAAATGTATGTTATTGATACAATGTGATGTTGAAAGGATTTCCTATTTGTGATGAAATGATGCGAAGGGTATGTAGTGGTACCGATGCACAGATCATGGACTGGATAATACAGTGCGTACTCGAATGATGCACTGGATACTTAGGCCAATAGATTAGTTCATGTGATACACAGATACTGTCAAGCTAAACTATTAAAAGCCAAGTTATGGGCCAAAATACAAGCAGTCTTAACATGAAATTCATGCAAACATCATAAGTAACTCAGCTTTACATGTTGAATAGTTTTTTATTACGTCCACTGGCTGCTTACTGTCTGCGTTCATCGGCCAGTCATTGCTCATTACTATCATTCATTCATTGATTCAGTCGGTCACTCTCATCGTTCTCCGATTGACCTGCCTGGCCTTGTAGAACTTTCAGGAACATATGTTCCAGCCAATATAGCTCGGTTGGGTCATCACGACAAGCAAGCCCGACCATCACGTCCAGGTAGCAGCTACGCTCGGGATTGCTATCATTTGATGCATCTAATATATTTATAATATCCTACGTAGTACAAAATCAAATATTCAACGTTTCACAATTGATCTCAGTTGCTTCTTCACCCCATTGACCGCTTCACTTATATTGGGAGTTTCATCAGCGCTGATGGCCTGGTTTTTGACGAAATCTGAGCACGGATACAGAATGCTCGATTAGCTTTTGCCAACATCCTCCACGTATGGCGTAGGCGTGATATCCGTTCGCTAACCAAAGGTTGAGTGTACTGTGCAGCAGTTCGCTCTGTCCTATACGGATGCGAAACATGGCCGGTAAGAGTAGATAATATTACTAGGTTACTAGTACTCGATCTCAGATGTCTTAGAAGCATTGCTCGTGTATCGTGGGACACCGGAGTAAGCAATGCTGCCATTAGGAATCGGGTGCTAGGTAAGGTTGGCAGATCAATAGATGAAGTATTTAAACTTCATCTTTGAGGTGGTTGGAACATGTGTTACGGATGCCGAACTACCGACTGCATCGTCGAGCTATATTTTGTGGTGTAGAGGATTAGGTTGGAAGAAAGCTAGGGGGAACCAAACCGAAACAAAGCAGAAATCCATGAAGTCACTGAGAACTGGATTGAGTCATGTTGGTAAATGTGGACTACTTAGTTGGGGCCCGGGAGATGATAGTAACCAATAGTTAGAGATCTTGAATGACATGGCTTAAAATCGTTTGCATTGGCACAGGTGCACCCATTCTTTGTGTTCTCTCAAATTATAATCTTATGGATTCGTCAACACCTCTACCTTCGTCTTTCTAAACTTATCTCACTGAATTATACTTCCTGAATATTATTTTCAAATCCTAATCTTCTCCATTAGCAGTAATTGTTCTGCTATCTCTACCACAATGGGATTTGACTTGACAATTGCGTCTCTGTGCTATAATGTGTTATGATGGCGACATGATCTGATGTACTTATGTACGAAGTTCTACGTTGTAACTGACTGACTGACCATTGATAACTGAATTAACTCAAATGAACTTTAAATAATACTATGAAATAAATAAAACATGTCGCACTAACGAACAAGTCCTTTGAGACTGTCTTGATGATATTCAGATCAAATATGATTGATTCTTATTTGTATATATTCATTTGTGAAGAGTAGTTATGATTGAAATATGTTGTATTTGCATTATTATAACAAGGCTGATAAATTTAATTTTGTTTGTGTTTCGTGATGTTTGAATAGATAGTCCAAGTTGCATGTGAATAGCTAACACTTCCTTTCTATTGATGTCAGTTGTGTTTAACAATATGTGATAAAGCTTAGCGATTGGTCTTTGCTTAAAACTAGAAAGGCGTTTTTAGAATTTGTAATATTAATGTTGTTACTTGTTGAATATATCATGTGGTTGTACTGTTCTATTCTCGCTTACTGTTTGTTTTCACGGTCGCTTAGATATAATTGTAAATATTTTGAATAAAAAAATTACTAACAATCAGAAAACAGAAACGCTTACATAAATATGCCTTTATAAACTATTGACAGAAAGACAGACACAAAGCAGAACTTCGTACGTAAGTACATCAGTTCAGGTTGCCATACCACATTAGCACAGAGATGCAACTGTCAGTTCAAATCCAAGAGTGATAGTGATAGTAGAAGTATTAGCAGTAATGGAGAAGATTAGGGAGCGAAGATATGATTCGAGAAGTATAATTTAGTAGAAAGGTAGAGATTATGAGGAATGCAGAAGCATAGAATTTCATAGAACACAAAGAGTGGATGCACCTGCGCCATTGCAAACGATTCTGAGCCATGTCGTACAAGGTCTCTAGCCATCGGTGACTAGCGTCTCGCGGACCCCAACCAGATTGCCTACATCTACCAACATGACTCAGTCCACTTGTCATCGACTTCATGGATCTCCGCCGTGTTCTGGTTTGGCCGCCCCTAGCTTTCTTCCAGTCTACTCCTATACTGTAAAACATAGCTTGTCGAGGCAGTCGGTGGTTAAGCATACGTAACACATGTCCCGTTGTAAACTACATGGAGCATTTAATGTACGGACATTGTGTCAAATAGGGCAACAGGCATCATTAGCTAGGACTTTAGAATATCTCCTTGACTGGATCCCAGTAGATAGTCGAGGAGAGATTGTTCTGCCCTACGACTCAATGCTATACCTACACCGGTGAATAATTTCATGATTATCTGAACTTAGTTGTTCAATGAGTTTATGTATATGTCGTCGTTTAAAGCAATTGTTTACAGGTCTAAATGTACACATCAATAAGCACACTGAATTAACGAGTTTCATAGAGGACAGAATTCAATATCTGCATTCTATTGCTATTCAAAATTCAACTTGATTAGGTACTTGCAACTATGTCGCCACTATCAAGAGAATTTGTTGAGGATGCATATATATATACCAATGAAAGGTTATCAAATGCAGTCTTTAATTTTAACAGCTGGAAAACTCAACACCTCATAAAATGTATATATAACACTTTGTAATAGTGTTGTTTTGTTTTTCTCTTTCAATAGGATTGAAATATGCATGTAGTCAGTGTAATGGAAAGTTTACATCGAAATTCTATTTAATTGAACATATGCAAGTGATTCATGAAGGTGAGTTAGTTATTACTGGTTGGGAATAATGATTTCTTACTATGGAAAATTATATGTTGAAGTTTTTTCGGAATAGTATTTTGTTTTGAATGTTTTGTTTGAGAAAAGGATAAAGCTGTGAGTGAGATGCTCTAATTCCATCCATTCGGTTATACATTCAATTCACTGATAACACCTTTGATTTCAGCACAAAGTAGGATACAAACCTGCGAAATCATGATATATTCTATAGGATTATCGTATTGAATGATGAATTTGATTTTCAATTAGAGTTATAGAGATTAGTGTTTTTACACGTTTAAAATCATCAAATATAATCATTGTTAGACCACTATTAGATATTTGGAAGCATTGGACGGCCGTTTCGTCCTGGTTTAGGACTACTCATCATCAGTGTGCATTCATGACTCCTGCATCTCACAGGATTCGAATCCGGGACCTTCGGTATTGTGCGTGAACGCATAACCTCTAGACCACTGGACTGGCATCCGATGGTGTAATATTTAACTCTGCTGATGGGTCGCATATCAGGACGAACCAGCTGTCTTTCAGTGTTTCTAGGTTTCTAATAATAGTCTAACAATGATTGATTGATGATTTCAGATGGATTTTATATTTTGCCAAATCTGTTTTTTATATTATTGCTCTGACAGGTAGAAGCTTTTAATCTAAAAAGAATGTGCTAAGCAATTAATTATGAGGTGAAATGTTCAATTATCTACCAAATTCATTCATTCACCTCTTAAAATCTTCCAACTAGGTTATATTAAGTGTAGATTTTGTTTGGGATTACATTGGGATTACACCTTGTTCATTAACAACACTACACTTATGTCAACATTATTCTTACCGGGCATTCTGCTACTTCTAACGAAAAGTATTAGTAGTCGAAATTTAGAAATTCATAAACTATATGGTGTTAACATTAATTTATAAAATATGATAACTAAAGTAGGTCAAAGGTGGATGAATAGAATTCAAATAATCATCAAAAAACATCGAAAACATTACGTAATAAGCAAATGTGTAAAAATGATAATATGACTTAACTAACGCTTGACATTATACATATTTTTTATTTAAATTTAATTTTATTATTTTTTGATGTTAAGATTTATGTCAAATAACTCGTTCGTATAAATTATTGTTAAATGTTTTTTTAGGGATGTATCGATAATGAAAGTTATTTTACAGTAACACGATGTCAGTGTGTTGGTTTTGATACTCTTGGGTGGTTTAAATTTAGAAAGCTCAAGTGCCCTGATATTAGTTAGTAATTGATAAGATTTCACTCTTCATTATCGAAATGCCTTTATATGTCCATGCATTTTTTATGACCTATAAAAAGAAAGTCCTAGACAGTATCTCCTCAGTCTCCACTCAAATATCATATGGATAATAATAATGAAAATGAAATACTGGTTTGGCATCGCCAACGACCCAAGTAGTGTTTACTGTCCATCTGGTTCAGTTGTATTTGTTTTAAATTGCATCACCTTTCTGTTTTGTTTCGTTTCCATTGTGTATGTATTTATTTTGTTTATATTACCCAGCAGCTTTAAATTTGTGAATTTTATCAGGATATACTTGATCTGAATTATTTTCGCTGGAGTTATGTGCATCATTCAAACTAGCGTGTTTCAATGCCCGCTTTTTGATGCAAGATAGTTTTGGTTATGTTTTGAGATTGATGCAAGCTGTATTTCTTCGATGTTTTCAAAATCTTAATGAAGTACCATAATTTTGCGTTCCATATTTCCACTCCATAGTAATGTTTCATGTGTTTATCTGATTACTCTGTGGCATCAGTATCTTGCTCGACTGTCAATGATGTCACACTAAGCGACAGTGCACAGGTGATACTGATCACTTCATTCCCTAATAATAGTAGTTTGTGCACTGTTAGTCTGGAAAGATTCATCAAAATTAGGAAAAACTAGTGTGGAGTATATGATGTCTCCATACCGAAACTTTTACCGCTCGGATGCAATTAGTTGGTTAATCTTCGGATATGCGTTCGACAGATGTTGCAATGCTAGCTATTTAAATGCATCATCTTAAACTAATTTGAAAAAAATATGACTGGCTTCTACATCACAGTGCTTAGCTTTTTGAAGAGGCTTGAAAAGCTTTCTGTAAAATCCGTCTTTTGTTTCATCTGTGCTGCCATCAGTGGAGGCGAAAGCAGAGACAACAAGGAGGCAATAGCAAGTGTTTCAGTCTTTCCGAATACTTACCCTCCCGCTTAGTCCGACAACAGTGAGTGAAGGATTTGATCTGAAACAAGTTGATCTCGTGTATTGTTATGAATATAAAGGCGGTTGTTACTTCTCGGTTGCCCACACCATTGGAAGGTTGTTTCTTGAGGAACCTGTGAATGAAATTGTGTTAGTATTGGTCCTAGCGACCTGGGAGTGTCACCGCAGCGCCCAAAGAACAATTGCTTAAGGCCGGTCACGTACGGCTTTTTTATAGGAAGTTTTCGGAGTGTTAGCTCCGTCCTTCAAAAGGCCATCAAGACGAAAATCTGTGGGGTAGGGTAGGGTTGACATATTCTCACCCTTTCCTTCCTTTGTGAGAAGGTAGCATCGTTGAGAATGCTGGTTGCAATGGTGAATTTGTTATCATCTCTACCTTTCTACTTCTAAACTTATCTCACTGAATTATACTTCTTGGAACCCTAATCTTCTGCAGTACCAGTAACACTTCTGCTACCTCTACCACTATTCAGTCAGTCAGTCAGATGCGACGCAGAACTTCGTACGTAAGTACATCAGCTCATGTCGCCATACCACATCAGCACAGAGATATAATTGTCAATTCAAATCCAATAGTAGAAGAGGTAGTAAGGGAATTAGAAGTAATCGGAGAGGTTAGGATTAGAAGATACTATTCAAGAAGTATAATTCAGTGAGAAAAGTTTAGAGAGTCGAAACTAGAGGTGCTGAAGAATCCAGAAGATTAGGATTTGAGAGAACACAGAGAATAAATGCACCAGCGCCATTGCGAACGATTTTGAGCCATGTCATTCAAGGTCTCTAACCATCGATTATTATCATCTCGTGGACCCCAACCAGGTAGTCGACAATTACCGACATGGCTGAGTCCACTAGTCAATGACTTCATGGATTTGTGTCATGTTTTGGTTTGGCCCCCCTATCTTTCTTCCAACCTATTCCTACACTACAAAACAAAGTTCTTCGAGGCAGTCGGTGGTTGGGCATACGCAACACATGTCCCAACCACCTCAACTGATGAAGTTTCACCACTTCATCTATTGATCTGCCATTCTTACCTAGCACCCGTTTCCTAATAACACGGTTGCTCACTCCGGTATCCCACGGTATACGACTATTAGATTCGAAATAACAATTGCGGTTCTGTGCTTATGTGGTATGGCAACTTAAAATGATGTACTTACGTACGACGTTCTGCGTTGTAACTGACTGACTGACTGCTCATAGTTTTCTTCATCAGCTGCATGTGTTATAGTCTATAACAGTCTATTTGTCAAATACAAATACTACTACTACTACTGCTGTAGTGAACGAGAACACAGGTGGGGCAACCGAATTGTATTTAACGGAAATTACAGAGAGTTACTCAGTAAAATCGAAAAACCCTATCGTAAATCGTTAATTTGCAAAATGTCAGCTCATCATATCGAACTGGACTGTTCCTGTTGCAAAACATCAATCCATTGTCACTGTTCATGCGTTTCATACAAATTCCATTGTGTTCTAACTCTTCCTTTCTTGATCTTCCCTTATCTTCTGCTGCCAGACATTACGTTGACACTCACGTCATATACTAGTTATAAGTAGCTCACACCACACTACTACTACTAATAATAATAACTCAGAGTTTTCTCTACACAAAATAGTGTTTATTCATTCATATATTTTTTTCTTGTCAAACTGATGTGTTTATTTTGAAATTATATTTATGTTGTATATCATACTATTAAATAATCTTAGCTATGCAGTTTGTTTAACAATATTAATATTTATTCTTATTATTTTTCTAATTAGGCAAAAAATATCCATGTCATCAATGTGATAAAAAACTTTCATCAAAATGTAGTTTAAATGAACATGTAAAAGTTCATCATAAAGGTAAGTTTTTTTTGTTCATTATCAACATAATTATGTTCAATTATGATTAGGTTATTGATATACTTGAACTATCACAAGTTCACGTTAGTTGGTAAACGAGAACAAAGACAATGGATCCAGTGACATGATAGGCTACTCTCTAATCCGAGCGTCCTGAGGCCCCTCCCCACTAAGTAGACGAAGGAGTCTTAATATGGCTTAGAAAGTGTAATCTATATGCACTCAGACAATATGAGGTTTCGCAAGCACATAAATCGAGTTTATTTTTACAACCATCAAAGAAACGTCCTTGGGAGATCCATTGTCTGTTCTCTGAGCCGCGACACCATACCATCCACCCAGGTGTCTTTCATTTTCACTTAGTCTACCTACTCGAGCATTAAAGTCACCAGCCATTATTACTACATGGCTCAGAATCGTTTGCAATGGCGAAGGTGCATCCACTCTTTGTGTTCTCTCAAACTCTAACCTTCTGAATTCCTCATAATCTCTGTAGTTCTCCTCCTAAATTTATCTTAATGAATTATAATTTCTTGAATCATATCTTCGCTCCCTAATCTTCTCCATTACTGCTAATACTTCTATTATCGCTATCACTCCTGGATTTGAACTGACAGTTTCGTCTCTGTGCTGACGTGGTATAGCAACTTGAACTGATGTACTTACGTACGAAGTTCTGTGTTGTATCTGTCTGTCTGTTTGTCTTTGGGAGAGCTACAAAAATAGCGTACTAAAATAATACATCAACCAATGATAGTCAAGGATTTTCTGTGTGGGAAATGTAATCTCAAGGTCAACTGAACAGTCCATGTACTTTAACATAAAATCCAAAATTAGGATCATTATCAAGTGAGTTCTGCGGATTTAACACTCGCAACAGTTACATTGAAATTATCAATATTAAATTTATTATTCAGTTTTTTAAAAAAAATTCAATAAATTTAAACAACTCTATTACCTTTGTTTTTGAATTTTGAACTAGTTGCTTTGAGTGTGTGTGTGTAAAAGAAAAAGCAGTTCAATTTTCAAGTATAATTTTTAAATGTGTGTGTATTTTTTAAAATTTATCTACAGTTTTTTGTTCAACTATGGTAAACATGTCACATAACACATTTTTTTCATATTTATGTCACAATTGAAGAATAGTGATGGACTTCTGGGTTTCATAGTGAAAAAAAACTAAACTACTGATATTATGTAATCTTCTTGTTATGGTATAGAACGTGTAATCGTTGCATGTACTACACCAATTGTTATTGTTAACTATGAAGTGATCATTGTTTTTGACTTGTTTAGATTTCCACTCTCACTGAAATGGGACCATGGAGATCAACATAGATTTGTGAAGATGATGTATGTGTGAATGTGTTTTGACTTTTTTAAAAATTGTATAGTTGAGATTCAAATATTGTCGAATGGGCTGATGATTAAAATGCACCAATTTCTCAGCAACTGCATTGCAGAAATTGTTTCAAATATATTTACTGTGTGTGTGTATGTGCGTGTAAGTGTACAAAGTGCATTTGATTAGCTGATGATCACTTGACCCGAAATCCCGACCGTAGCTGCTACCTTGACGTAGTGGTCGGGCTTGACTATCGTGATGACCCAACCGAGCTATACTGGCTGGAACATATGTTCCTGAAGGTTCTACCATGCCAGGCAGGTCGATTGGAGAACGGTGAGACTAAAAGCAGCTACCCAAGGTCTGAGGGCGAAGTCGTACTGCTCACTGCAGAGGGGTGTGACAGCAGTAAGGTGTTTTCATCGGACAACGAGCATCTGCAGCGATGCTGCCTTCTGACAAGGAAGGAAGGGTTAGGAAAGGGCGACCTTAAAAATGTCACACCTCACCCTACCTCACGGATTTCCGTCTCCTTGGGTAAGGGTGCCCACTAAGGGCCTTTAAGAGCGGACCTAATCCTGAAAAAACCTTTAACAAAAAGGCCGTGCGTAACTGGCCTCAAGCAGTTGTCCCTTGGGCTCTGTGATCACGCATCAACACTAATCTACCTTCCTTCTCAGGTTCCTCAGGAAACAACCTTTTATGGTGTGGGCAGCCGGGAAGTGATAACCGCCCTCATACCCGTAACAGCACGCGACACCAAATTGGTCAAAATCAAATCCTGACTGACTGACTTGACCCAAATGCTTAATGATTTCATTGTTGTTGTTTTTTTTTAAAAAAGATTTCAATTTTTTAGTAATGTATTCGTGTTTTTTTTGTATATGAATTCTTTCATCAGGTATAAAGTTTACCTGTAATCTATGTAACAAAGAGTTTGGTTTCAAAGGAAGTCTAGACAGGCATCATAAAACTATTCATGAAGGTTAGTTTATTATGTGCTTAGTTAATCTGCAAGTCTTTAGTGTATTCACCTTGTTTGTGAAAATCCCTCCATGTATACATGTGTAATATGTCCTAATTGATTCCTTCAGTTTGATGGAACCACCATACTGTATCTTGTTGTACTGCAAGTCTATGTCAGTCAGTCAGTCATTTACAACGTAGAACTTCGTACGTAAGTACATCAGTTCATGTTGCTATACCACATTAGCACAGAGATGCAATTGTCAATTCAATTACCATAGTAGTAGTAGAGGTAGTAAAAGTATTAGAAGTAATCGGAGAGATAAGGGTTCTAAGATGTTATTCAAGAAGTATAATTCAGTGAGGTAAATTTAGAAAGAGGTGATGAGAAATTCAGAAGATTAGAATTCCATAGAACACAAAGAGTAAATGCACCTGCGCCATTGCGAACGATTGTCAGCCATGTTGTTCAAGGTCACTAACCATCGGTTACTATCATCTCGCGGACCCCAATCAGGTAGTCGACACCTACCAGCATGACTCGGTTCACTTGTTAGTGACTTCATGGATTTCTACCATGTTTTGGTTTGGCCACCCCTATCTTTCTTCCAACCTACTCCTACATCACAAAACGTAGCTCGACGAGGCATTCGATGGTTAGGCATACGTAACACATGTCCGAACCACCTTAACTGTTGAAGTTTCAATACTTCATCTATTGATCTGCCATCTCTACCCAGTACTGGTATCCTAACAACAGCATTGCTTACCTCTTATGTAATAATGATATTCGAATGTTTGTGGTTTCTCATATACCGTTTTATTGAGTTAATATAAATCTAATATGATTCGTTAATTTATAGCTTAAAATATATTGATATTCAATTTATACAAATACGTTTAGTAATAATAATAATGATTCTTTCATTATTTTCCTATTTGCCTTCATTAGGAATTCGATTTACATGTAATCATTGTGATAGAAAATTTACAACAAAACATGATTTAACTGAACACATAAAAGTTGTTCATGAAGGTGAGTTTGTAGTGTTCCGATTTACTGCGTGTTCTTAAGCTCGATAATTAGCTCGTTCAGACAATCGTTACTAAATAGCATCTGACGGTTTATAAATCAGAAGGTGAACTCGAAGTGATGAATACGTTTATTTGGGCCACACCACAAGGCGAAGCGGAAAAGCAGTGAATAAAACGAATGAAGCGACGTGAACCGGAGAAGGCTGTTGAGCCAATTCCAAGAGATAGAGCGTGACTAAGAATACATAGTCAGACAAAAATAAGACAGACATGTGACAAGCAAAATAGGCACACATGAATAAAAGGGACGAATAGTTGACAAGGTCAAATGGCAAGTGGGACACGGCATGTGAGCTCATACAAACCAGACAATAATAAGAACGAATGGTACATATAAATGGTTGCAATACAAATCGCTTGGGTAAATAAATTAATCGAAAGGGCTTAACCAAGTTAGATGTAAGCGAACTGCAATGTATGTGGAGGCACTACAAATTGACTTTTTCATTTGACATTTGACAATGTTTAATCAATTTTCAATAAATTGAAAATTTAATGCATTTCGTTTTTCTTTAGTGTATAAAACAATCCGTTTTTTTGTGATCGATATTTGTTTTTTTTTTAAATGTATCATGCTTTATTTGTCAGTTATTTTATTTATTTACATTAAGAAATAAAAAGGTGTGTTCAAGATTTCACTAATGAAGACAATATGTGAATGTAAAAAGAAAAAAAATACCACAACCATTGTTTCGCATTTCAAATTTCAATTATTTTGGATTATTATTTCACAGTAGTAATAGTAGTAGTCATGCAAAAACTGTTTCAATTTTGATAGGATTGAATTTTTCGAATTAAGAAATTGTACACTGAAAACTTGAGAGACTAAGTCACACCTATTACAATACTCTGAATTCGCTTAACCAACTAAAAAATTGATTTTATTTACAGAACTTAATTTATTTGATTGTGTAACCTTGTTTTTTAGATTGTAGAGTTGGGATCAAACATCGCGGACTACAAACTGTTTCATTATGACTCCGTCCTACTTTATGGCTATGAAACATGGCCAGTATGAGTAAAATAAGTATTCGTAGGTTACTGGTTTTCGATCATAGCTGTCTTCGAAGCATTGCTCGTTTATCTTGGGACTATCGAGTAAGCAATGCTGTTGTTAGGTAATGGGTACTAGGTAAAGATGGTAGATCAATAGATGAAGTATTGAAACTTCATCAGTTGAGGTGGTTGGGATATGTGTTGCGTATGCCCAACCACTGACTGCCTCGTTGAACTTTGTTTTGTAGTGTAGGAATAGATTGGACGAAAGCTAGGGGCGGCCAAAATAAACGATGGCAGAAATCCATGAAGTCACTGACAAGTGGATTGAGTCATGTTGGTTAATGTGGACTACTTAGTTGGGGTCCGCGAGATGATAGTAACCAACAGTTAGAGACCTTGAATGACATGACTGAAAATCGGTTTGCAATTGCACAGATGCATGCGCTCTTTGTGTTCTCTCAAATGCTAACTTATTGGATTCCTCATGACCGTGTTTTTTTTTCTTTTTTTCTAACTGATTCCTCTGGGGTATACATCTTGAATGATGCATTCGATCATTGATCTTTTTGATTACTACTAATACTTCTACTACCTCTACTATCATGGTATTTGAATTGACAATTCAATTTCTGTTTGCTAATGTGTTCTATGTTGTAAGTGACGCACTGACTAATTATAACTTATACTATAATCTGTTAAAAGTACTAAACTTTCAATCATTATAATTTTCTTAATTCCTTATACAATAAATAAAACTCAAAGTTTATTACATATAAAGGGTTCTTCATTTGTCAATAACGTTCCGCTTATAAGTTACTGATAGTTATTTCCATTATGTACATGTTGCAGGCCAATATTATATATATAACCTTAAATATTGATATTGAATTTGTATGAATATATTTATTCATATTAATACAATTATTGTCTTTTCCATATTAGGCATAGAATATCGATGTGATCATTGTAATGGAAAGTTTTCATCGAAATCCAATTTAAAAGAACATTTGAGATTTGTTCATGAAGGTAATCATACTTACTCTATTTTATCATGTAATTTATATGCTGTGTTACACTCTCATCATATCTATATCATAAGTGGTGAATTTATACTATTCACTAAAAACACTATTTAACTTTCTTGATTATTTTATTTCATTAAATCTATTTCCTGAGAAGATATGTGTAGTCATTCACCTATCCGACTACTTATTCAATTCAGTGGTTGATATCTTCAATTTAAGCATATTTATGTAGAGTTTGAATTCTCAGAAATCGCTTGTTATAGTGAAATTTTATCAAAAACTATTGCTTAATTTTATGTGCACGAATAGCAAAATCAATGAGTGATTATTGTAGAAAGCGTTCAAAGGAAATCGTAGTGCTGACACCAAACGTAGCCTCCAAATTCCCTGATGCAGTTAGGAGTGTGGAGAAAGTTCGCACTCCCTCTCTCTAAATGCTCTCATATATCCATGAGTACATAGCCACTACCAGGAGAGTACTACCCACAGCTTACTCATGGCATAAGTTTTGTTTACAAAATGGAGAGGAAATAAAGCGAATGTGAAGTTGGGGCTGAAACCAGATTGATGCGTACCATGGTGGATCCACCTAGTGGAGTTGGAAAACTCTGATTTCAAACCAATGATGTACATGGGATCTAGGATCCTGATGGGACTGACAGCGTATGAACCTAATGTTGTTCATCAACTACCGTGAGACTGGTGACTCTCTAAGAAATATACCTGTTTCCGTTTGGGTGTCTACGCATTATTGAAGCCCACTCGTAAATTTTTTTGATTTGTGTGGCGCAAAATATTTAGGTGCCCATTTGTACAAATGTTTATCTACTTAACTGTTACGCGTGCACGTAACACGTCATTTTGATATGTTTGAACTATTACGAGTTTATCTTAGTCAATAAACGAGAGCGAGGTTTGAGGATCCGGCGACACGACATGCTACTCTAGTCCGAGTCTCCCCACAACCCGCATTGAGTAAAAGACGAAGACTTGATATGAAGTAGATCATGTTTTCTACAGGTATCCAGTGCAGAAAAGAATCAGGATCACGGACTAAGGATCCGGGTCATAAAACGTTACAAATAATGCCTATTTATACAGTTAGATCGAATAGGAACCAATATTGAAGTATGTGACAGTTAGGACAGTTAGGACGACCATAATATTGACCAATAGAATTAGACTTACAAAAATAATTCTCTTAGAAGATTTTTGGATGAATATCCTAACATTAACTAAAAATAAAAATGAAAGATCCTAGATCCATCTAGTTATTATCATTGACTGGTGAATTTTTATCACTTTATTCTTCTTTTTGCCAAGTGATTTCTATCACAGAGTCATTAATTCTATTCTGAAATGCACAAAGGTTTATTTTATCATTATGAATGATTATCGAAAAAAATATATACATATTATTATTCTATCAAATTTTACAAATTCGTCATTTTTAAAAAAAAATTTTTTTAAACGAAACATTTATTTAGGTGTAAGGTTTACTTGTGAACAATGCAATAAAATGTTTGCTAAACGAAGTAAATTGAATGAACATATCAAATCTGTTCATGAAGGTATGATTTAATAAAATTCTAATATATATATATATATATATATATATATATATATATATATATATGATTGATAATTGATTGTTTGTTTAAACCATTTATGAAGAACAAAATGAACAATGACTAGCCAATGGTGGAATTCAAAACATGTGATTCTTCTTCCAGTTGAATTTACCTTGATTCCCTAATCGGAGTTGGTATGTAACCTTAGGTCTCGAACAAACTATCAGTCACTTCAAATGCCAAAGCGCTATTCTATATAAACTAATTCGGCAATGATTATATCGATAAAATTCCCACTGGATAAACATACGACAAGGAAGACTGATTGATTGTGGTGGTGTTTTGTTCTCTGAGCTGGTTGTTTTGGTTGTGGAGCTTTCATTGTTCTTCTGAACAACATCATCAGCACGAACTTCAGATAGAAGTGAAGCATTAGAATTTCTCCACGTTTGACCTGTAGCTTGTTCTGCTAACCTCGATCTTGATTGGTTGTTGTTGACCTTTGACCTGTCGTTGTTTGCAACTATGTTTTGATTGCCTCCCTCTTTTGATCTGTTTCTTGATCTAGTGTCACCTATGATTTTCCTGATTGGTTGATAAATTGGGTCAATGTCGATGTGTTTGTTGATTGCTAATTGACCTGAGTGCCAAGCTTCTAAAAATTCTCTAGTATTCTTTGTCCTCCCCCTACCTAGTATTTCCACGTTGTTCCAATCAAATGTGTGTCCATAATTGTCGGTGCGTATTGATATAAGCGAAGCGTTGTCGTGGCGTTTGACTGCTAATTGATGTTCACGTAAACGGAGCTGAAGAGGTCATCCACTTTGTCCTATGTAGTGTTTTTCACAATTTGAGCAATTTATTTTGTAGATGATATTTGGTTTTTTCTTCCTTTGTCATTTTGTCCTTTGGTCTACATAGGATTGACTGAAGTGATTCCGTTGGTTTGTGTGCCACACCTATTCCAAATGGTTTCAGTAGTCGTGCCGTATGCTCTGATATGTCTTTGATGTATGGTAGGATGATGCGTTTATTTGTTCCTGTGCTTGATTTCACTCCTGATGATAGTTTTGGTTGATGTTTTTTTGATGAAGTTGCGTGGATAGCCGTTCTTTTGGAAGATAGTCATCAGATGTTTTTCCTCGTTTTTTAATGTTTCGTATGTGCTGCAGTGTGTCTTCGCTCTCTTGAACAGAGTTTATATGCAGTTAATCTTGTGGGTTCTTGGGTTGTTGCTGTCGTAGTTGAGAATTACGTCGGTGTGGGTTGGCTTCCGAAATACTTGAGTTTCTAGTTTTCCTGTGTTAGTTCTGGTGATTAGTACATCCAGGAATGATATGCTGTTGTTTGATTCCTTTTCCATCGTGAATTTGATGTCATCGAAGACGTTGTTGATCCGATTGTAGATGTTCTCCAGCTCATTCCTTTTGATAATAACGAATGTGTCGTCTACATAGCGAACCCACATTTTTGGATTGATCACTGGCAGAATCGACGATTCCAGTCTTTGCATTACCGCTTCGGCGATGAGTCCTGATATTGGTGATCCCATTGGTGTTCCTTTTATTTGTTCGTAGACTCTATTGTTGAACTGAAGATATGTTGTTAAGCATAGGTCGATGAGTTCAAGCAAACTTTGACTCTGAAGCTTTGTATATTTGTGTAGATTTGTGTCGTTGGTGAGGAGCAGAGAAAGAGTTTCTTTGGCTAAGCTTGGTTCTATTGAGGTAAATAAGGCTGTTACGTCGAAGGATATCATCATTTCGTCGTTGTCAATTTGAATCCTCTTGAGTTTATCCAAGAATTCTGTGGCAGACTTAATGGAGTAGTTGGATTCATCCACCAGATGTTTTAATATCCTTGAGATCTCTCTTGATAAGTTGTAGGTCAAGGTTCCGGGGAGGGATACAATAGGACGTAGTGGGATGTTAGGTTTGTGGAGTTTCGGCCTACCATAGAATCGTGGAATTATTGGTCCATTGGATTTCATTCTCCGTTGATCTTGTTTTGATATTTGTCCTGCTTTGATAAGCCTACTTAGAGTCTTTGAGATTTGATTGTCCAACTTTTTTATGGGGTTTGTGTCGACTGGTTTATACACGCTTCTGTCCCGAAGTAGATCCTCGGCTTTCTTGATATATTCCTCCTTGTCCATGATTACTGTCGTGCGTCCTTTGTCCGCTGGAACTATGACTATATCTTCCCTGGTTTTGAGTTTCTTTAGAGCTTTTCGTTGTTGTGCTGTTAGCTGGTTGTTGTCTCTCTTCCGTCGAGTTAGTGGTACTATGGTTTGTCTTATTTCTTGTTGAGTTTCTTCACTTATTCCTACCGTTTTGAGCGATGACTCTAATGCCGCGAAGAATTCCAGTTTTGAAGCGTCCTTCGTGTTGTAGTTTAATCCTTTCGCCAAAAGGCAGGCTTCCACTCGAGAACAACTGTTTTTTCTCCACGAATGTCTTCGTCAGCATGTTCTGCCAACGAGTGTCAGATATAGACCACCAATCAACTGCCCAATGGGATGGCGAATAGCGGAGCAAAGTGGGAGACATATGGTACAATTAATGATCACCGACGCACACTACAGGATCCACAAATACCAACACAACATGGATGAACAAAAAAGAAAACTAGAAGGAATACTTACATCAGAAGACTTAACAACGTTGACAACGGCGATTGAACTGTCAAGCAGACGACACAGAGAACAAAGAAGAAGCATCCTCAAAGACAAACTAATCAAGATTTCAAAGCCAGCCACAGAAGAAAACGCAAACAGTTGTGTGGTCAACCTATCGAAGCAACATCTAACGACAACAGAAGTACAACTGCTCCAAAAAGGATTAAACTATAACATGAAGGACGCTTTAAAACTGGAATTCTTCGCGGCATTAGAGTCATCACTCAAAACGGCAGGAATAAGTGAAGAAACTCAACAAGAAATAAGACAAACCATAGGAAGAGAGACAACAACCAGCTAACAGCACAACAACGAAAAGCTCTAAAGAAACTCAAAACCAGGGAAGATATAGTCATAGTTCCAGCGGACAAAGGACGCACAACAGTAATCATGGACAAGGAGGAATATATCAAGAAAGCCGAGGAGCTACTTCAGGACAGAAGCGTATATAAACCAGTCGACACAAACCCCATAAAAAAGTTGGACAATCAAATCTCAAGGACTCTTGATAGGCTTGTCAAAGCAGGACAAATATAAAAACAAGATCAATGGAGAATGAAATCCAATGGACCAATAATTCCACGATTCTACGGTAGGCCGAAACTCCACAAACCTAACATCCCACTACGTCCTATTGTATCCCTCCCCGGAACCCTGACCTACAACTTATCAAGAGAGATCTCAAGGATATTAAAACATCTGGTGGATGAATCCAACTACTCCATTAAGTCTGCCACAGAATTCTTGGATAAACTCAAGAGGATTCAAATTGACAACGACGAAATGATGATATCCTTCGACGTAACAGCCTTATTTACCTCAATAGAACCAAGCTTAGCCAAAGAAACTCTTTCTCTGCTCCTCACCAACGACACAAATCTACACAAATATACAAAGCTTCAGAGTCAAAGTTTGCTTGAACTCATCGACCTATGCTTAACAACATATCTTCAGTTCAACAATAGAGTCTACGAACAAATAAAAGGAACACCAATGGGATCACCAATATCAGGACTCATCGCCGAAGCGGTAATGCAAAGACTGGAATCGTCGATTCTGCCAGTGATCAATCCAAAAATGTGGGTTCGCTATGTAGACGACACATTCGTTATTATCAAAAGGAATGAGCTGGAGAACATCTACAATCAGATCAACAACGTCTTTGATGACATCAAATTCACGATGGAAAAGGAATCAAACAACAGCATATCATTCCTGGATGTACTAATCACCAGAACTAACACAGGAAAACTAGAAACTCAAGTATTTCGGAAGCCAACCCACACCGACGTAATTCTCAACTACGACAGCAACAACCCAAGAACCCACAAGATTAACTGCATATAAACTCTGTTCAAGAGAGCGAAGACACACTGCAGCACATACGAAACATTAAAAAACGAGGAAAAACATCTGATGACTATCTTCCAAAAGAACGGCTATCCACGCAACTTCATCAAAAAAACATCAACCAAAACTATCATCAGGAGTGAAATCAAGCACAGGAACAAATAAACGCATCATCCTACCATACATCAAAGACATATCAGAGCATACGGCACGACTACTGAAACCATTTGGAATAGGTGTGGCACACAAACCAACGGAATCACTTCAGTCAATCCTATGTAGACCAAAGGACAAAATGACAAAGGAAGAAAAAACCAAATATCATCTACAAAATAAATTGCTCAAATTGTGAAAAACACTACATAGGACAAAGTGGACGACCTCTTCAGCTCCGTTTACGTGAACATCAATTAGCAGTCAAACGCCACGACAACGCTTCGCTTATATCAATACACACCGACAATTATGGACACACATTTGATTGGAACAACGTGGAAATACTAGGTAGGGGGAGGACAAAGAATACTAGAGAATTTTTAGAAGCTTGGCACTCAGGTCAATTAGCAATCAACAAACACATCGACATTGACCCAATTTATCAACCAATCAGGAAAATCATAGGTGACACTAGATCAAGAAACAGATCAAAAGAGGGAGGCAATCAAAACATAGTTGCAAACAACGACAGGTCAAAGGTCAACAACAACCAATCAAGATCGAGGTTAGCAGAACAAGCTACAGGTCAAACGTGGAGAAATTCTAATGCTTCACTTCTATCTGAAGTTCGTGCTGATGATGTTGTTCAGAAGAACAATGAAAGCTCCACAACCAAAACAACCAGCTCAGAGAACAAAACACCACCACAGTCATCCACCTGAGCTACAAGTTTTCTCCACCATCTCAAGACTGATTGAATTTCAGTCAACATATCAACCTGATTTCTGACATTAAGTTATTGAATATATATTCCTATGTGTTTTTGAATATCAAATTATGTCCCACCCATAGCTGCTACCTTGATGTGGTGTTGGTCGGGCTTGTTTATCGCGATGACCTAACCAAGCCGTATTGGCTGGAAAACCTGTTTCTTTAGGTCCAACCATTTAAGCCAGATAGGTCGTTTGGAGAACGATAAGACTTAAAACGACGACTTAATATCTGAAGGCGAAGTCGTACAGTTGACTGTAGTAGGTTGTGACAGCAGTAAGATGTTTTCTCCAAACAACCAGCATCTGCAGCGATGCTGACTCTTCACAAGTAAGGAAGGGATTAGAAACGGTAGACCTTAAAAATGTCACACCGGTTGTGAGGTGTTTTGAAGGACCTAGCTAATACTTCCAATATATCCCATAAAAAGTTCGTGCATGATCTGCCTCTAGCAGTTGTCGCTTGGGTTGTGCGGTCACTCTTTCGGGTTGCTAAGACCTACACTAATCTTCCTTCCTTTTCATGTTCCTCAAGAAATACCCTTCCAGGGTGTGGGCAGCCGGAAAATGACACCCGCCCTCAAGTCCGTAACATCACACGAGAACAGATTGGTCATAATAGAATTCTCCCTATACTTCATGATAACTGCTGGATTGACTTGCATCAGCACATGAGCTGGTGTTAGGGAGTGAAGTAATTGAGCGAGTTGACTGCCTCACTTATCTCGAGAGTTTCATCAGTTTTCATGGCCTGGTGTCTGACGAAACCTAAGCACCGATAAACAAGGCTCGGTTGGCTTTTGCCAATTTGCGTCACTTATGGCATAAGAGAGATATCCGTCTGCTGCCCGAAGGACGAGTTTGCTGTGCTGCAGTTCGCCTCAATCTGAGTGTGAAATATGTCCAGTAAGAATAATAAAAATTCGTAGGCTCCTGGTACTTGGTCATAGGTGTCTTCGAAGTATTGCTCCTCAGACGATGGAGTAATCAATGCTATTGTTAACAAAAGGATACTAGCTAAGAATGACAAATCAACTGATAAAGTGGTGAATCTTCATCATTTGAGGTGGTTGGGACATGTGTTACGTATGTCCAACCACCGACCTCCTCAACGAGCGATACCTTGTCATTTAGAGGTAGGCTAGAAGAAAGCTAGGGGTAGCGAGACCAAAACATGGCACAAATCCATGAAGTCACTGACTATTGAACTAAACCATGTTGGTAGATGTAGACTACCTGATTGCGGTCCGCGAGATGATTGTAATCGATGGTTAGAGACCGTGAATCATGATATGGCTTAAAACCGTTTTCAATGGCTTAGGTGCATCCATTTTTGTGTTCTCTCAAATCCTAACCTTCTAAATTCCTCATCAGCTTTATCTTTCTCTAGATTCTACTTCTTGAATAATATCTTCGAACCCTAATCTTTCCGATTACCGCTAATAGTTCTTTTACTATGGGATAAGAAGTGACCATTTCATCTCTATGCTAATGTTGTATGGCAACTTGAAATGATGTACTTACGTATGAAGTTCTACGTTGTAACTAACTAACTGACTGACGGACTTATTAATGCTTGTAGCAGTTCGATGTCTGGCACAGAATGTTTTTTTTTCAGTTTCTTTATAAGAGTTGAATCTTTGTCTTTTTATTTTAAATTAAAAAAAAAACTAATTGTTGGTGCACAAATTAGTTTGTCTATTCATCTGTCATCTTTACTGTATTAAAATAGAAGTTGAAATATTGTAGTGAGTAATAAAATAACTTTGGCGGACAGATTATTATTATTATTTTATCTGGTTATTGTTTACATTTCACTATGCCCCAACCAATCCTCATTCATTTGTAGTGAGCGAGTCAAGATACCAGATTGATTATGCTCACCACTAAATGCTCCATAATATCCCGCCATCATTAAAATCAAAATAAATCCATGGTTGAGTATTTTATTGAAGGAGAACTTTGGCATTATATGGGGAGCAGGGCATTTAAAAAGAAATGGCAGCAACGCGAAGAGAACGTTGCGCGCGCAAGAAGTGGTAGAAGTGTTTTTGGTACAGTTAAACAAAACGAGTTAAATAATGTTTATTTTTCACAAATTGTATTTTCTTTGTAGAAGCGTTCTACTACACATTCAAAAACAATTTCATACTTTATTCACTGAACGCAAGATAAATTTTCTTTAAATTCTCCAAAAGTTATGTTTGCAATGAATTTCAACTCACTTTCAACCCTCAAATAAGTTATAAACTGTGTCACTTCTAACTTTGTTGACAATTCAGGCTATAATTTCTCTATTGGAAATTTAATAGATCACTCCTAAAGGTTTTTGTTAATTTCCTCTGTCTTGATGATAAATTTAACTCTTGTGTGTCTCAATTAACTAACTACTAACTAAAATTCTAATGTCACTTACCATTTATAGTATCTTTTAATTCAATTATATGCTATATATGTATATATAATGTGATATTTAATTTTCTAAAGTTAACCTAATGTTGTTGCTTTTTTTGTTATTATCTAGTAGTTCATGTTTGAAGTCTTTTAATTTTATCCGACCGTCAAAAGTGTAATGTTGCTCAATAAAAAAAAAGAATGATTCATTTTCTCTAAAACAGAATGAAAAAAGCAGGATTTAGTTTCTCAATCAATGATTGTACATATATATATATATGTATATCAAATGTATTTCTTTTGTATAGTTACTTTTTTTATTATTTATCTGTTGTATAATCTTCATTTGTACAAATAAAGTGATTATCTCTATTGAATTTGTACTTACTTACTTACGCCTGTTACCCCCAATGAAGCATAGGCCGCCCACTAGTTTCCTCCAACCAACTCTGTCCTGGGCTTCCCTCTCTAATTCTGTCCAATTTTTGTTCATTCCTCTCATATCTTTCTCTATTTCTCAGCGTAATGTGTTCCGTGGCCTTCCTCTTTTCCTTTTACCTTGAGGATTCCACGTGAGGGCTTGTCTTGTGACGCAGTTTGGAGCTTTTCGTAGTGTGTGTCCTATCCACTTCCACTGCTTATTCCTGATTTCCTCCTCCTCTGGAATCTGGTTTGTTCTCTCCCAAAGTAGGTTGTTGCTGATCGTGTCTGACCAACGAATACGAAGTATTTTGCGTAGACAACTGTTCATAAACACTTATATCTTCTGGAAGATGCTTTTCCTTGTCCACTCCTTATGCCAATCTGATATACAGAATAATCCCACATCATTCTTAGCTGTTTATACGGAGCGGAATTCTGTTGCCATAAATCTACTCCGTACCGATTAGTTTGCAAGTAGTCCAGATTGAACTGATGTAACACCACTGTCTATGAAATAAGTTCATTAAAATCATTGATACACTATTGATGATTACTTGTCATTTTGTACTTGAGAATTCTTACATCAATATCTGTAAATGGTTCTTTATAGGAAGTGATAATTTTTTTTGCCTATTGAACAGCACAGTTTCATCGAACTCCTAATTCTGTGTACAGGTTGATCTGACGAAACTAATACCAACTGATTAGTTTTAGGGATTGCTGTCTTTTTTAGTAGGTACATACTAATGGTCATCTAGATTTCGCGATAAAGCTTTTATTGGGAATTTCGGAAAAAAGTGACGTGCTGAAGTGTTTAATTACTATTTGGGGCGATTCCAAATTTCATGCTTGACCAAAGAGCACTACTGTATCCCTAGTCGTCGGTCAATGTCGTGTGACTAATGTTACGCATGCACGTAAACATGTAATTTGATATGCTTGAGTTATTACGAGAGGAAGGATCCGGCGACACATGCTACTCTAGTCCGAGTGTCCCAACCTTCCATTGAGTGAAATAAGAAGACTTTATATGAAGTAGAACCTGTATTCTACAAGCATCCAGAAAGTACGAGGTTCAAGTGCAGAAGAGAAACAGGATCCCGGACTAGGGGTCTAGGTCCGTGTCCTAAAACGTTGCAGATAATGCGTATTTATACAGTTAGGTCGAATAGGAAACAGCAGTAAAGTTTGTGACATTGACAGTTAAGGCAACCAATAGGAGAAAACATTTGAAGTGACACTGATAGTCAGGAAGACCAATAAGAAACAGCATTGAAGTACTTGACATTGGTATTTAGGACGACCAAAATATTGACAAATAGGATGTTTGATGAATATTCTAACACCAATAAAAAACAATCAGAATTGCATTTTAGCACTAGTATCTTCCAGTCAGCTTTAAACACTTATTGGGTTACCCATCGAAATGTCTCTTCCTGTATTAACACTCCGTCCAGAAGTTCGTAGTCAAGGAATTATTGATTTCAATCAGTTAAAGTTTATATACAAAACATAACAGACCATGTCCCACCTTAGCACGTGCAGTTGAAACTTTCTTGGATGTTAAGTTGACATGGTGAACAGAATTTGTGAACTTAATTTCCTACCGAAGTAGCAGTAACTACTGTGTCGTGGTTGCTGAACGTTTTGACTAAGGCAAACATAACCATAGGAGTTGGTAGATCTGCACTTGATATGAAAATTTGAGCCCAATCAGGTCGCTTGCCATCTTCGAAGGCGGTTCACTGCCACTCATCGAACTCTAGGTGTAGAATGGGATTTCACACGAGATATATCCAAGTTTTACTTTGATGCACCGGAAAGGCCTTTGTCAGGGAGATGGATTCTATCTGTTTTCTCGTCCCTGTTCGATCCTATGGGTCTATTTGCTCCAGTCTGCCTTACTGCCAAACTACTCTTGCAAAAGTTATGTAAATCCCAAATGGGATGGGATCAGCCTCTCAATGAGCCATAAGTGTCCACGTGGCTAAATTGGACGAATTTTATACGGCCTTTAGGTCATGATACGATAGATCGAGGGAACAAGAATAGAATCGACGAACCTAACGTGAAGGTACAATTACATTTGTTCAGGGATGCCTCAGAGATGGCTTAGGGAGCAGTTGCTTACGCACAAGTTATATGAAGGAACCACTATACTGTATCTTGTTGTCTAGGGTCACACCTATCAAACAAGTCACTTTACCGAGGCTTGAGATGGTGGCGGCGGTTTCAAGTGTGAGGTAAAGTGAAGTCTTACGGAGGAGTCTACCGAGACATGAAAGTTCCGTTCATATAGGGTGCCTAAAGGTCAAGGAGCTTGGGATGGTCAGGAGTAAGGTTTTAATGATGGTACAGAAAGAGGTGTATGGGGGGTTACTCAGTGAATTTTTTGTTTGATCGGTCATATCTATGTAGCAGGTCGGGTAGGCGTACTGCTGTAAGTCCTACTCATTCTTCTAGTTTGGATTATGCTACAGAATGAATCATCATCATAGGCATCGAAATGGCATTGCTTTGTATGGAGGGATTTTGCCGGCCGGTATAAGATGCATTTCTGAAGGCTTTGTTTGTGAAAATCCTTCCATGTATATATTTGTAATATGTCCTTATTGATTCCTTCAGTTGTACATTTTGTTAATTTGTTCCATTCCATTCTGAGGTGATAATATTTGTATTTTATCATTGTTTATATTTCTACTGCCTTCACTGAGTTTCTATGTTTCATTCTAAACTGCACTATGTTGTTTAGGCTGATACTTATTTATGGCGACAGCCATATTGATTTGTTCCTCTTTTGATTGTGTCGGTTGTTTGCTTTAAGTGGAATTGTGTATTTTGATTGTGAATTGAAGCACTCTATCGGAATTGGAAACACTTTGTGTTATAAAGCAACCAAATATTATCTGTCGAACGAATCTGATCTATCCAGGGGGTGATAGAATGTCATTTATTTGTGCTGTTGATTTGAATAATTGAACAATTGTTCGTAGAATAACTGAATGGTAATATTTGTTTAGAACCTTCATTTACCCAATCACCTTGTTTTTGTTTCAACGTGGCAATAGCGCGTATCTGAACTACTTAGACAATCTTTCTTCCATCTAAACCTCAGTTTAGATTCCACACTGGGACTCAATTTTCTGATCGTCTGTAAGTGATGTGAGGATCAACCATGAACTTACTGTTATCCCAGCTTTTTCTGAGTATCTCTGTCCATTCAGTTCCTTTCTAGTTTTAACCAATCGCTGTTCATTCTTTTCATATCTGTCTCTAGTTCCTGACTCAGTAGGTGTAGTGTTAAAAAATCGTGTAGAAAAACACGATTGTTTAAATGATAATATTTATTATCGTAACCAAAACTGTAAGTGAAAATTTTACCGAGGATTTTTTTTTATTCGTACTTTATTAAAGAACTTACTGTTCGCTATCTTGCTTTTTCTGTTCTGTACTTTTGCTCGATCCCCTGATTCGTTTTGGTATTCCTGTGTCACCACGATATCCTGTCTTCTCACTTTCGATAAAAGGTTTGACATGACACTTGGGTTCTGAACCTAATCGATTTATATATGTGTTTGTATCCTTCCTAATCGAGCAACATATTTGGTGAGCCTGTTTCCACGTACGTTTCTTGATCTGTCTCTTATATTTTGGACTGTAGTGGAACACTTCTACGAATAAAATATGATTTGTGAAAAATAAACACTATTGTACTCGTTTTGTTTAACTGTACCAAAAACACTTCTTCTACTTCTTGCGCGCAACGTTCTCTTCGCGTTGCTGCCATTTTTCTCTATTTGCTGCTCCCCATGTAATGCCAGTGTTCTCCTTCAATAAAACCTTACATCATGGACTTATTTTCATTTCGATGATGGCGGGATGTTATGGAACATTTAGTGGTGAGCATAGTTAGTCTGGTATCTGGATTTGCTCACAACAATTGGTGAGACCGACGTTTTTTCCAAAAGAAGTCAATTACGGTTAGTCTATTATTCATCTATCACCATTTTTATAATGTTGCAATACTATTAATAATGTCTTTAATATGTATTATACTTGCAACAACCTTTCGAAATGGTAAATAGCTATAATAATAGACTCCGAGGTGCTGGTCATTGCGTGTTAACCTGTCTCCTCCACGTCACTTCAGGTTGTTAGTTTATTTTACGTGCTCGATTCTTGCACTAACGCTAGGTACTTGGTGGCCACAAGTGCCGAAGTTTCTGTCGTATCGTTTGGTAGCAGTAAGTCACAAGCTACGATGCTTCGATCACGCACTGCGAATGGCTCTGTCATTCCTACCTACGGTACACGACAGCTAACTATCAACCTGAATAACCGACGACAGTATCTATGGACGTCCATCCCTTCTGATGTTCCCATAGCCATACTCGGTATCGATCCGTTACAGCACTATGAATTGCTAGTCGATCCACGTAGGCTGCGTTATTCGATACTTCGTCGAATATCAAATCCATGGTTTTTAACGCGCAAACAGATATGTACCGAATTTTTCGCATTACTATTTATTTCATGTTATATTCGATAAATCCCCCAAAGTAACGAAACCGTGTAGATCCAACTGGTGATTAATTATGTGGTAAGCTACATCGTCACCTGCAGACCCCCAGTCACGGCAAAACCTCGCCTACTGGCACTGGACGACTTAGTCTTCGCTGAGCGTGAGTTTGACAGTTTACTTTCTATATGTATTACTTCGTCTTTCTCACAGTCCTTAAGACTCCTCTCCACTCGGTTCGCAGAAGATGGCATTTGTTGGAGACGACATGGCGATTACGGAGCAGCAACGGCAGATATCCAATGTTCCGCCTTTGAACTTGTATACGGCACGACAGTGCATCTGCCTGAGGA